AAGGGCGGGCGTCACTATAAGGTCTGATTGTAAGAAAAAATATAATTAATATAGAGAGCAATATTCAGATATGTTATAACAAAAAAAAATAAGAAAAGTATAGTGATGGGGGGTGACAATCGGTGATAATTTTGGCGAGGTCAAGCTCTAGACGTCGTTTACTAAAAATTGACATAATTAGACATTATACTAATACAAATCTTCCGTCAACTGGACTGGACTAACAAAGGATTAAAAATAGATGGAGAATATCTTAACCATCTAAGATTTGTTGATGACATAATCCTAATTGCCAATAGTCCTGAAAAACTGCAAACACAAATTAATGAACTAAATACAGCCAGCAATAAAGTGGGTCCTAAAATGAATTTAGCAAAAACTTAAATAATGTACAACGAACTAGTGGAAATAAAAGACATTCTAATAAATATCACAACACTGGAAATAGTAGAAGAATATATATATTTGGGACAACTAATACACAGCTCAGGATCTCTACTACCATAAATCAACAAAAGAATTAAACTAGCATGGAGTACTTATGGATGAAACTCTTCATATTCAAATCTAGAATGCCCCTCTATCTAAAGAAGAAAACATTCGACCAATGTGTCAACTAGTCATGACGTATGCATGCGAAATATGGACACTTAAACCGGACATCATAAGGAAACTGCAACTCGCACAATGCTCAGTGGAACGAAATAAGCTGGGAATAATCAAGAGAAACCGATAAACAATACAGTGGAAACGACAAAAGACGCAGAGAGTAGATGTCATCCACAGAGTCAAATCCCTCAAATGGTAATAGGCAGGACACCTGAAAAGAAGAATGGACAACAGATGGACCACAAAAATTACAGCATAATACCCACGAGGAATTAAGAGACCTAGAAGAAGACCAAACCTGAGATGGGACCATGATATTAGGAAATTAGCAGGGATAACTTTGGCCCACATAGCCAACAATAGAATACAATGGGCCTAACTAGAAAGAGAGTATCTAAATGTGTGAGGGAGGCTACACCATAATTGGAAATAGTTGAATAAGCTGAAAATGTTAATGATTATGATACTAATACAACAGAGGAGGAGTTCTCATGCTCCAAAAACCACATGTATTTTTTTGCACACATGTAATCAGCACCACATTCACAGGGACTAGAAGCTAATAGAGATGTATAGATCTGGTATTTTAATATAGTCAACTCCGGAGTTATATCAAGCTTCATGGACCTACATCCAGGTTCCAATTCTGTCGGATCTATATCCTTCTTCTTCTTCTTCCTCTGCCTTGTGCTTAGCCGCACGTTGGCGATTGTCTGTACTCTTCATACAATGTGTAGAGTGCCGTTTTCGGCTCTTCGAAATATGGTGGCTGCGTCGCTGATGTTACACCGATCCCGTATGTTTCTTAGCCAGGAATGTTGTTTTCTTCCTCGGCCTCGCCGTCCCTCTATTTTTCCTTGTAGAATCAGCTTAGGAATGTAATATTTGTCTCCTCTATGGATATGGCCGAGATGAAACTGATATGAAACTTTTCTTTCTTTAACTATATTAAGCATTTCTCGTTCATAGCCTGCAGTTCTTAAGACTTCTTCGTTGGTGGCATGTGCGGTCCATGGCACACGTAAGAGTCTCCGGAGACTCCAAATTTCGAAAGCCTCGATGCGGTTCAGGGTTCTAGCTTTGAGAGACCACGTTTCTGCGCCGTATAGTAAGATACCCGTAATCTAAGTGTTAGCGGGAGACTGCGTGCTAATAGGAAGTTTTTAAGTTTAAAAAATGTTGATTTTGCATAATTCGTTTTAAGTTTAACTTCCTCATCGCAGTCCCATCGTTCATTGATCATGGCACCTAGATATTTAAATCGTGATACTCGCTCTATAATATTTCCATCCACCGTCACTTATAGGCTGGCATCCTATTACCATAAGTTTGGTCTTGGTAGCGTCGATTTTAAGACCGAAACGATTCCCATATATCATTCTAACTATCAATATACCCTTAACCTAAACATTTAAATTTGTACCAAAATTAGATCCCAAAGAACGAATTTAGTAAACGAATTATATAGAAAACACCCTGTGTTAAAAAATGCCAATTCCAACACTTGAATATAAAACCACTAAACATCATAAACCAATACTATAATGTCAGACGAACTTCATAAACGTTCTATCCCAAGCCAAAGTTAAAGGGTTCTTCCTCAATTTTATCGTTTCCAACTTTCGGGCGTTTTATTTATTGTAAACGGTCTACGAGACGCGAAAAAGGCGATTCCCTCTGACAAGACTATTTTCGCCCGCAGGCAGCAGCAGCTCTTGCCAGTCGAGCGAGTGTCAAACCGGAAATGGCCGAATATTTCCGGACGTCGAACGGAATAGTTTTAAATATTTGAACGAGTCAATAAGAGTCTGACGCGAAACGTCTAGAGATAAGTGAAATAAACTGAAAAAAGACCGTCTACTATTTTATAAAATAGCAAACAAAAAGAAAAAAACAAATGATCTAAAAGATGTCTATTAAGTAGCATTCATAAATTTAGGAGCTGTTGAAGATATAGAACGTAGAATGTGTAGGAGGGGGGTTAATCTTTTAAACAGATCTTTTGTGTGTCCCGAGTTACTAAAAATACTTCTTATAAATTAATTTCAATTCCAATATCATTATTCTTCTATTATTAATCTCCCTTTAAGATGAATACGATTATCTGTTAACATTACTAATTAATTTTTATTAAATAGTTGTTTAATATTTAAGTTAATTTTTTATTAAATAGTTAGTAGTTGATATTTGACGAGTTATATTTTACCATGAAAAGAACACAAACATAAAACTAACTAAATAAAATCTTTTCAAAAATCATCTAAATCTCGTCAGCCTTTTCAGGTAAAAAAACTAATGGAATAGAAATAGATCTTTCTGAAAGTAAAAGATAAATTATGCATTGGAGGATTTCAAGAATCCAGTGAATTTCAATGAAAACCTGGCTTATGTTAAGTATCAATCGAATTGAATTACCGGAAATCGCCTAAGCTAAACACATATATTATACAAAGGAAGGTACTTATGTTAAATATATTTTATACAGAACATCTTAAAATAGACAAATATATAAATATTAAGCAATAATAGGAGTTTTTTTAAATCAGTTTATTAATATATTACAAATATTTTGAACTAAACTAAAAAGTTAATAAAATATCGAGAAATAATCATAATTTTCTGTTACATGGAACTCATTTTCTATTTAGATATTTTGCTACTAATAATTCTAATGTGAATACCACAAAACTGATACCACATCCCAAAATATGCAAATAAAACAATGCCTGCAAATTATCAAACCTTATACTACTATTCTCCAAAGCTTCGATCTTGGGTATATCCATATGCTTCCTTAGTATTCCAGAAACAGTTAGTTGCATCCTGAAAAGCCTGAATCTTGGCAGATATGGTGACCGTCTTTTAACAACAAACCCTTCATAGCACCGTAGTACTGGTTCACTTAACATATGGAAATTAAGAGGCTTCCTTTTCGTTGCTATACGCAGCAAGCTTTTTTGTGCCTCGAATAATGAACCAATCAATGCTACATCTTCATTACTCTCAATTAAAGCATGCCATTCTAGTCTCGACAAGTATCGTAAGTTTGGAAATGCATAGTTAGTAATAGTGCTTCCGTAGTAGTAAATATTTAAATTAGATTCTTTTAAAGCATGTAAAGATTTAATTGCAGGACCACTATGAATGGTCAATATCTCGTTTAGAATGTTACATGTGTTAAATACCCCTATAACAACACAAGCATATATCCAGAAAGCTCCAATAATAGATTTTCTTTTTTGGAAATAGTTTGAAGCAATTCCAAGAAAAGCTGAATAAAAGTACAACAGATTTTCGCAAGTGGAAATATCAAATCCCTTTATTAATTTATCGATATATGCGACTACCAGTATTAGAGTCCCAACCACAAGAATCTTTTTAAAAGAAAATACACCTTCCAAAAGATGTTTCCAATGCTGGCCATCTTTAATTTTAGGCACCAAAGCGATCAAAGGATTTGGTTTAATTGTAAAATACAACTGTGCCAAATTATCAACATGATCGGACCAATCTTGAGGCCTGGTTGGTATAGTCCTGATACAGAAATCTGCGTTACTTTGAATTAATGCTTTTGTCGTATTGTCTATATTACTAAATGGTTCACTTTTAATAAATATTAAACTACAGTTAAAATAAGCCTCCATTTCTGCTTCGGTAATATCATCAGAATCTGAACCTACATTATTGGGCTTTAACAAATCTTCATGATCTAATAGTCTTATAGGATATCCGTTCATGTTTTTTAATTTATCAGGATATTCAATAAGATTAACATCATTAATATTGTGATAGATCAATCGAGAATAAAATGGATTGTAATGTAGACTGGTTAAGGTATTATTTTCTTGAACAACAGTAAAAACAAAATCCAACAAATTTCTGCTCCAAGCATGTTCAGATGCTTTTAGTAAGTCTATATTACCTCCTTCTTCAAAAATGATGAACTTAAATTTCCCAACGTTATCAAATTGCTCTAATTGAGTTAAAACGTCTAAAACATCTTTAAAATGGTTCATACAAGACACGAACAACACTGTTAAGGTTCTTTTAGTATCTTTAGTAATATTTTCCAGGTTGTTATAACTGAATATGTATTTAGCACACTTGTAATTCTGTATAAATAAATTTACAAATTCCATATAATCCGTATTTTTAAAGGGAATAATGAAATTGCAGAGTATAAACTTTGAACTTGTTTTTATAGTATGTTCTTGTATTTGATGAACTAATTCGGACTCATCTGCTAGTAGTTTTGATGAAGATTCTGATAATAAAATTAAAAAAAAGCTGTACAATGTGACATTTTTCAGAAGCATGATACACAACTGAAAAATATAAATTTTAGTTGTAAAATTTGTATTACTTTTTTGCACGAAATAGAATAAACATCATTATTACAAAAGCGTTTTTAATGACATATTTACATTAGATATCACATCACAAAACAACTTTATAGGACAAAACTTCGTGCGTTAACGACAGGCTGTTTGTTCTCTGGGGATTCATTTTTAGTGTAGTTGATTTCTTTCTCTGCTCCAGAAATAGTCTCTTTGTTGGTTTCAGTAGGCGCGCACATCACATTGTCGATTAATCCGAATTTTTTCGCTTCTTCCGGCGTCATAAAGTTATCTCTCTCCAAGCTGATTTCGACTTTTTCTAAAGGCATGTTGGTATGTTTTTCGTAGAGCTTGTTGATTTGTTGTTTGATTTTTAGGATCTCTTCTGCTTGAATTTTTATGTCGGTTGCTTGGCCGGTCACACCACCAGATGGCTGATGAATCATTATGCGAGCATTGGGAAGAGAGTTTCTCATTCCTGGAACAAAATAAATATGTAAGATTTAAAAAAAATATTGTAATGCCTTCATATAATTAATATTTTTTTAGAGGTATTGTATTGTATTCATTTTTATTTCGATTTTTTCCAAATAATTTCTGAACTACAACTACCTCTGACTACTTCTCTGACCTCTGAGTATTTAATACTCATTTCCAACTACAGCCTATTGCTGCCTTCCCGTTACCCTACGCCACACATCTCTATTTAGAGCGTCATCAGCTTCTAGGTTACGAGCTTCCATTGCTTCCGTAACCGTTCCGTTCCAGGATTTTCTAGGTCTACCTCTCTTTCTTCTGCCCTGGGGAGCCCATTGAAAAACTCTTTTTGACTACCTGCTCTCCGGCATACGCAGAACATGTCCAAACCACTTTAAGCTGGATTTTTCGATTCGATCTAGTACTGTTTCCTCCGATGCATTCATGATACGCCTGACCTCGATGTTTGTTTTGTTTCCATCCCAGGTATACCTGCGCTTCTTCTAAGGTAGTCCATTTCAACAACTAGGATTTCGCGCTTCGCGTTTGCACTCAGAGTCCATAGCTCTGAACCATAGCAAAGAATTGACTCCACCAATGTTCGTTCAAGTCTCTTTTTAGTAAAACTAAACCTCTTTTTAGTTGTTGCAGACAAGTTTCGTTCCCACCAGAGGCTATTAAGCCATCCAATAACTTGTTTGCACTTCTGAATTCGGGTTTGTATTTCTTCCTTGCCCAAACCCTCGTTGTTGATAGTAGCACCCAGGTATTTAAATTTGTCTACTTGTTGAATCTGGACGTTATCATTAATGAAGATTTCAAAACAAGCGTTGGAATTGACAGCTAAGTATTCCGTCTTTTTTAGACTAACCTGAAGTCCCCATTTGTTGTATTCTTGATAAAGCCTCTTAGTCATGAACTCCAGATCGTATGAGTCCTGCGCAATCACAACCTGATCGTATGCAAAGCTCAGGGTAAATAGTGTGTTGTCCCCAATGGGTATTCCATACCTTGATATTTCGTCTTCCATTCCCTAAGGGCTAATTCGACGTAAGCGTTGAAGATCAGAGGAGATAAGCTGCATCCTTGTCGCAACCCTTTTGTGGTGTTAATTGGATTAGATAGCCTGTGTCCTATCTTAACGTACGATTCATTTTCTTTATATAGCTATTTTATTATCTTAAGCAAAGGTCTATCTACTTCTAAGATATTCAATACTTCCCATATCTTGCTGCGGGGAATAGAGTCGTACGCTTTCTCCAAATCAATAAATGCTAGATGGACTTCTTGATCTACTGCTATCTTTTTTTCCATCACCTGCTGCAGGACAAAAAGGTTATTTGTGCAAGATTTCCCCGGTGTGAATCCGCTTTGGTCTTCCGAGATTTTGTCACCAATACTGTCCCTGAGCCTACCCTGTAACACCTTTCCAAAAAGTCTGTTGACCGAACTGTTAATGCTTAGGCCTCTATAACAAGTGGGGTCGTTACGATTTCCCTTTTTAAAGATGGACACTATGTGAGCCACTCGCCATTCTCGGGGTAGTTTACTTTGCAGGCAGCATTGGTTAAATAGCTCTGCCAGACGCCAGCGTAGTCTTTGGGTTCCACACTTTAACAATTCGGCTACAATATTACCAGGACCTGGTGACCGTCCATTTTTCATTTTTTTGAGACTTAGATGTACTTCTCTTCGCTGATCGTTAAAGTGCCCGCAAGGTTGTCTTCCTCTTCTGCAGATTGGAATTCTGGTCGGTTTTCTGTTAGTAATTCTGCATAGTAGTTGCGCCATTTTTCTATATCAATTTTATTCAAGAGCTTGTCCGTTTGATTGGTTTTCATTTGTCGGATTGTTCGCAAGACCTCAGTACTCCGTGCGCCCCCTAGTAGACTTTCCACTTGCTGACATCTTCTTTCCCACATATCCGTTTTTCCTACCTTAATAGCGGCTCGTACCTCTCTGTTTTTTTTCTTGTAATGACCCCAGTTAGTCTCTGTTCTGTCTGAGAGCCATTTTTGATAGAATTTTTGTTTGTCATTGATTAAGGTCTTTATGCTGTCAGTTATCCAAGCTGGTTCATCTTTTTTTTTCTGCATGTTCTGTTCACCTAAAACTTCGAGAGCTACTTTTTTAATTAGGGTTTTTAGGTTGGTATACTCTAGTTCTACATCGTTACAGGCTTTCACTTCCTGTACCCCTACATACCCACAACTACCTCTACCCCTACATAAATTTTAGTAGAAATATAAACTTCACCGACAACTGAATATTTTTACAAAATCTTAAAAGTAAAAAAGATATTTGCTCACCTTTTGTGCCCGCAGCCAACAGCAAAGACGCCATACTACAACACTGCCCCACACACCAAGTCGATACGGGAGGCAACACGTACTGCATAGTGTCGTAAATCCCAAGGCCCGACGTTATAACTCCTCCAGGCGAATTGATATACATATGAATAGGCTTAGTGGCCGATTCCGATTGCAGGTAGAGCAGCTGAGCGATCGTAACCGAACTTGTCACGTCGTTTATCGGGCCCATGAGGCAAATAATTCGCTCTTTCAGCAGTCTGGAGTAGATGTCGAAGGCCCTCTCGCCTTTGCCAGACTGTTCGATGACGATGGGCACGTGATGGAACGGTAAATTGATCATGGAAAAGGATTTGGATACGTTGCTGAGCGGAAAATTAGGAGGGACTACTTTAAACATTTTTCTGTACTGTTGATTTGGTGTCTTGACGGGGACAATTGACAGTGACGCGAAAATGTTAACCTGAATTTTGAAAATGCTACACCATAGATAAAAGAAAATAATCTTCTATTAAGGTAGATATGAAACTTAATAGTAAAATTTTGGGTCAAAGCGCCCCTCCGTGTTCTTAGTAGAGACTACGTTTAACCCAGCGCCTTCGCCTTTTCTGCTGTAAATATTTTTTATGTTTATATTTGATTTCAAAGGATTTAGTTTTAAAGTTACACTGATATATTAGTATATCAAAGTAACTTTAATAAAACATAAGAATATATATATTTTACAGTTTATTAAATATAAATTTTGACTACAAGGTAAAAAGTAAATCACAATATTTGGCAAAACTTATAAGTATACCATTTTTACAGTTAATAAATAATAAAACTATTTCTGACTATGATATTTAAAATTTAGATAGATAAGAATATTAAAAAACATACCGGTATATGCAGACGTAGGCCGAAATTCAATAAAAACCAAAATTTTTCCTGCGAAAATCGGGCTTTTTTCACAGAAAAGGTATTTTTTGATGTATCAACAATCATTGTCAAGTTGACAATATACAGGGTTTTTTCTAATTAGTCTAAAAAATTGTGGTGTGATTCCTCATGTCTTCTTAAAACAATTTTTATATAACCATTGGGTCTAAAGTACTTCCTTTCTGATCTACATGGTGTTAAAAATTTTAAAAAAAATCGATATTTTGCTTAACATAAATGGTACACTACTGCTTTTTTAAAAAACATATATTTTTTTCTTGACTGACCATCCTTTTTCAACAAAATTGATCTTTTGAGTTTTTCTTGTTCATCAAACGGTTGCCGAGAAAAAAATAAATATACTTATTAGAGCCCGCCTTAAGCCGTTTTTCTAACGATTTTTTTATTTTTTAGATTAATTAAGAAACACCCTGTATATGCATATCTGAGCAACCAAATAAACTAGTAACCTCTAAAAATTATTTTTCCTACCACTAGCGACATACCGTGTTTTTAGTGAGTACTAAATTATTTTATCAAAATTTCACCATATAAGTTTCCAGGCAATGATGCTACACTCACATCATATACAGGGTGATCCGAACTGTATTCCGGAAACTTCCTGCAGATAAAAATTAGTAGAAAAGTTTGTATAAAGGTATGTCCTAAAATCAATCCAAAACCAATACGGGAACAGGGATCGGAGTGTTTGGGCCGAGAGCTAAATACTCCGAACCAATGGGCACTTACCCTAGTATCCTACAGGCAGAAATCTACGCTGTCGAAGATGCGTACAACTTATCTTAGATAGGATCTATCGGAAACAAGAAATAGCCATCTTCTCTGATAGTCAAGCAGCGTTAAAAGCGATCAACTCAGTATCAATCAATTCGAAATTGTCAAAGGAATGCATAAGAGAAGCTGAATAAATTAGGCAAAAAGAAAACAAAGTCCTCCTGCCTCTGGGTGCCTGCTCACCAAAGGGATAGAAGGAAATGAAAAAGCAAATTATCTAGCTAGGAAAGGGCGAACACTCCACTAACTGGACCCAGAACCGTTCTGCTTTCCAAGTGGTAACCAACTCAAGGCGGAACTCAAGAACTTGGAATTCATCACAACCTGGAATGGAAATCTTGCAACGATTTAAGACACTCGAAGAAGTTTCTGAGGGCTTATGATCCAGAAAAGTCACAGATCTTCCTGGGTTTTTAAGTAGAACAATCTTCAGTTGTCACGGGATTTTAACAGGCACTATGCTCCTCAATGAATACCTCAGTAGATTGAAACTAAGAAGAAACACTTGGCTTGAATACAGATTCTGTGGGGAGAATGAGGAAACACCAGTACACCTATCCACTGAGTGCGCCGAGACGACAGCCATTCGTGCCATGAATTTTGGTACGACTGATATTGGAGATGGAGAACTACCCTCTATAAAACCGTCCCAGATACTGGCTTTTGTCAAAGCCCTGGGACTGCATGATGAGTTATGACTCAAGAAAGGGGGACACAATGGATCTGTAAGGTCGCAGTGATTAACCCCCCTCCCACTCATTCTAAATTCTAAAAATGTCCTAAAATGCTTAGTTTCAGAGATACAGGGTGTAGAAGTTTCATTTTTATTTCGATTTTTTCCAAATAATTTCGGAAGTAACGTCAATATTTGGATGAAGATTGGTTAACTGGGAGTTATTTGACATGGGAAATTTGATTTTGATGTCAGTATGACTCCTACTTGTAGAAGGCGCCACCTATATATTTTTTACCTTGTTTGAAGACTAAACACTTTTCGTCTGTACCTGTGTAAAATTACTGAGTTTAAAAATATACATTTACGACGTTTTTTTTCTATAAAAAAGGTCTCTTGGTAAAAATCGGTACGGACCACCCTATATACAGGGTGGTCCGAACTGTATTCCGGAAACTTTGGCAGCATATTTTACAGATAAAAATAAGTAAAAAAGTTCGTATAAATGTATGTCCTAAAATGCTTAGTTTCGGAGATACAGGGTGTAGAAATTCTATTTTTATCTCGATTTTTTCCAAATAATTTCTGAAATAACGTAAATATTTGGATGAAAATTGGTGTCTGGAAGTTTTTTGACATGAGAAATTTGATTTTAATGTCAATATGACTTCTACTTGTAGAGGGCGCCACCTACATATTTTTAACTGGTTTGACGAGTAATAACTTTTAGTCCGAAACTGTATAAAACTACTGAGTAAGAAAATATACATTTACGACTTTTTTTACGTAAAAAAGGTCCCTTGTTAAAAATCGCTACGATTATTGATTCTCGAGATATTTGGAATCGAAATTATCAATACCTGTCATCATTGACATAAATTAAACATGTTGACTAAATAGTTATTAGGCTGAAATCATAAATTTGAAATGTTTTTCTGCTAAAAGTTCTTTATCATCATTTTTTCTCAGAAAAATTTAAGATTAATTAAAAAAAATAAAAAGTTCCCAAATTTATCATTTCAGTCAAATATCTGTCTGCTCAAAACATGCCTATTTTTTGTCATTAATGACATGTATTGACTATTTCCATTCTAAATATCTTGAGAACGGTTGTTTGTAGCGACTTTTACCAAGAGACATTTTTTACGTAAAAAATCACAGAAATGTATATTTTTTCACTCAGTAGTTTTATACAGGTACGGACGAAAAGTTATTTCGTTTTTCTCTCCAAAACAGTTAAAACACATGTAGATGGCGCCCTGTACAAATAGGAGTCGTATTGACATCAAAATCAAATTTCTCATGTCAAAAAACTCCCAAACACCAATTTTCATCCAAATGTTGACGTTACTTCAGAAATTATTTGGAAAAAATCGAAATAAAAATGAAACTTCTACACCCTGTATCTCCGAAAATAGGCATTTTATGACATACATTTATACGAACTTTTTTACTTAATTTTATCTGCAAAATATGCTGCCGAAGTTTCCGGAATACAGTTCGTACCACCCTGTATAACTTTTACTGGAGTAATTAGTAGAGGCATATCTAAATAAGTTAACTAAGTTATTAAGTAAGTGGAATCGCAGAAATAATAGTTATTTTCAATTTCTCCTTCCTTATAAACATATTATTCGTTTACTTTATTAAGAAATAGTCATAATAAGGCGTATTTGCATATCTGGAAATTTCCACATTTTCATATAAAACATTTCACTCTCCGGAATATTAAATAAAAGCGAATGGAGCGTGTTTATTGCGCCTAAACTAATATTACCCCGACGAAATAGCTTTTAAAGTTGCGCATCCCGAAATTCCTGCTGAATGCAATGGCTTAAATGCCGGAACAGAGCAGAAAGCACATCGCAAACTACATGATTTGTCGGTGGAATATTCTACATTAACTCAACTATACTAAAACATAAAGTATTATACAGAAGTGTACAGGATTAGTGTTTTGTTTTGTCGCACTTTTGACCAGCTTTGATCTTTTTTTGGAGTAGAACTTTTAGTATACCTTAAGATAGAATACTGTAGCGTTTTTTAAACAACTACCACTGCGAACGGCAGCTTTTCATCGGAGAGCAGTCGTGGATAAGGTATTTCACTAGAGAGAAAATTAATCAATAATAATAAACAAAAGATATATAGATATTGGGCGCCAGGCATGTACAGAGAAAGAAAACACAGTTGTATAATACTTAAAACTAATGACTATATTTATTCGTGATGAATTCTGATGGTAAATAGCATTGTACAATTAATATAATTATTATAGTGGTTACTTGTTGAGTAAAACTATATATGTAAATAATATTAAATACGTTCTATGAAAAGACTATAAAGAAAATACAATGCGTGTAACGTTATAGAAAATATAGGAAAAGTAGCATTACTTTATTTAAATTGTTAAATTTATACGGTGTTAAATCAGATGTGTTGCAACCTGTAGATTCTAGAATCTATCTCGTTATTCATCTGTTAGTATAGCGTAATAATAATGTCTATAGAAAGTAATACTATTACAATGCGTGATATTATGAAATCTAAAATCTAAATCACACTTTTACTACTGCATCGACATAAATATCCTTAATAATCTAACCACTAAATATAGTCTGTACGCTATTGTTTAAAATGTACGTTACTGTTTAAGACTGAAAACATTTTAGATGTTAAATGCAAAACTAGAACTTAAATATACACTTAGCTGTTCTTTTATGTAACCCTGCTTCAAACAGTAGCAGCGCGAGGAGGTCTAGCATCTCTGTACTGTCTGTCGGCGATCCAGGCTTAGAAATGGGGGTGAAGCAGCACGGGGCTCAAGCCACATCCACGCTGGGGCACTCTATGTGTAAGACAAATCAATCCTACTGGGGACACTTGTCCATGGGACATCCGTCCATAAGATAGTGGCACAAGAGAACACTACTAGGACCTTGAAAAATAGTCCATACCTTGGACACTTGTCCGTAAGACAATGTCCGTCCGTAAGACCCTAAGAACACGAAACTCTTGTTTAAAATCAAACACCGTCTAATAAACAAAATGAACCTA